TTCTCATTCTGTCTAGTTTCTAGTTGAAGTGTCACTTTGTGTCTGATGAATAAAACTTCAATCCAGCTGAGTTTACCAGTTAGTAAATGATTGCAACACACATCAAATTTGCCATTTCTCAAAGAAGAATGTCTCAGACAAATTGTTTAATCCCACAAAATCAACATTACTTTGAGTTTGGTGATGAGGAAATGCAAACTGAGGGGATGAAATCCCAATCATCAATTCATTTTTAAAAAGCAAACCTTCCATCTTTCTTGAACATTACTGCACTCACTGATCTTTATCCAAAACACAAAATGAGTCCAGAAATGGGAAATTAGCTGCAATACTCTCAAAGTCTTCTTGTGATATATAGCCATCGTGGTCATAGTCATAATTTCTGAAAACGTAGCTCTGATAGTCGGTGAACTGCAGACAAATGAGAATTATTGCCAAGACTCATTTGTATGAATCATTTTCATAGAGGCTATGCAATGTAGTTTAGCTCTATTTGGATTTAATGTTACAATCAGTTAAATGAAAGACACAACCAGCTGCTTACTGTAAAATTTTATGCAGGAAGATTAAAAAAAAAACAGGATTCAGCTGAAAATTTAGGAAGCAAAAACAAAGATATGGGTAAAAAAAAAAAGTAATTTATATGGAAGCCCATTTCCGCCAAGGAAAAGAAGACCAACAGGAAGTCATAATTTCGACTTTCAAAGTCATAATTATGAGATTCAAAGTCATAGTTATGAGATTTGAAGTCATAATTATGAGATTCAGTCATAATTATAAGATTCAAAGTCATGATTTTGACTTTCAAAGTCATAATTATGAGATTCAAGTCATAATTATGAGATTCAGTCATAATTATGAGATTCAAAGTCATAATTATGAGATTCAAAGTCATAATCATGAGATTCAGAGTCATAATTATGAGATCCAGAGTCATAATTATGATATTCAAAGTCATAATTTTGACTTCCAAAGTCATAATTATGAGATTCAAAGTCATAATTATGAGATTCAGAATCATAATTATGAGATTCAAAGTCATAATTATGAGATTCAAAGTCATAATCATGAGATTCAGAGTCATAATTATGAGATCCAGAGTCATAATTATGAGATTCAAAGTCATAATTATGAGATTCAGTCATAATTATGAGATTCAAAGTCATAATTATGAGATTCAGTTATAATTATGAGATTCAAAGTCATAATTATGAGATTCAAAGTCATAAATTTGACTTTCAAAGTCAATTCTGAAATTCAAAGTCATAATCATGAGATTCAGTCATAATTATGAGATTCAGAGTCATAATTATGAGATTCAGAGTCATAATTATGACATTCAAAGTCATAATCATGAGATTCAAAGTCATAATTATGAGATTCAGAGTCATAATTATGAGATTCAGAGTCATAATTATGAGATTCAGAGTCACAATTATGAGATTCAAAGTCATAATTATGAGATTCAGTCATAATTATGAGATTCAAAGTCATAATTATGAGATTAAAAGTCATAATTATGAGATTCGAAGTCATAATTATGAGATTCAAAGTCATAATTTCGACGTTCAAAGTCATAATTATTAGATTCAAAGTCATAATTATGAGATTCAAAGTCATAATTTCGACTTTCAAGGTCATAATTATGAGATTCAGAGTCATAATTATGAGATTCAGAGTCATAATTATGACATTCAAAGTCATAATCATGATATTCAAAGTCATAATTATGAGATTCAAAGTCATAATTATGAGATTAAGAGTCATAATTATGAGATTCGAAGTCATAATTATGAGATTCAAAGTCATAATTTCGACGTTCAAAGTCATAATTATTAGATTCAAAGTCATAATTATGAGATTCAAAGTCATAATTTCGACTTTGAAAGTCATAATTATGAGATTCAAAGTCATAATTTTGACTTTCAAAGTCATAATTATGAGATTCAAAGTCATAATTTCGACTTTCAAAGTCATAATTATGAGATTCAAAGTCATAATTTCGACTTTCAAAGTCATAATTATGAGATTCAAAGTCATAATTATGAGATTAAGAGTCATAATTATGAGATTCGAAGTCATAATTATGAGATTCAAAGTCATAATTTCGACGTTCAAAGTCATAATTATTAGATTCAAAGTCATAATTATGAGATTCAAAGTCATAATTTCGACTTTCAAAGTCATAATTATGAGATTCAGAGTCATAATTATGAGATTCAGAGTCATAATTATGACATTCAAAGTCATTATCATGAGATTCAAAGTCATAATTATGAGATTCAGAGTCATAATTATGAGATTCAGAGTCATAATTATGAGATTCAAAGTAATAATTATGAGATTCAGTCATAATTATGAGATTCAAAGTCATAATTATGAGATTAAGAGTCATAATTATGAGATTCGAAGTCATAATTATGAGATTCAAAGTCATAATTTCGACGTTCAAAGTCATAATTATTAGATTCAAAGTCATAATTATGAGATTCAAAGTCATATTTCGACTTTCAAAGTCTTAATTATGAGATTCAAAGTCATAATTATGAGATTAAGAGTCATAATTATGAGATTCAAAGTCATAATTATGAGATTCAGAGTCATAATTATGAGATTCAAAGTAATAATTATGAGATTCAGTCATAATTATGAGATTCAAAGTCATAATTATGAGATTAAGAGTCATAATTATGAGATTCGAAGTCATAATTATGAGATTCAGTCATAATTTCGACGTTCAAAGTCATAATTAGATTCAAAGTCATAATTATGAGATTCAAAGTCATAATTATGAGATTCAAAGTCATAATCATGAGATTCAGAGTCATAATTATGAGATCCAGAGTCATAATTATGAGATTCAAAGTCATAATTATGAGATTCAGTCATAATTATGAGATTCAAAGTCATAATTATGATATTCAAAGTCATAATTTTGACTTCCAAAGTCATAATTATGAGATTCAAAGTCATAATTATGAGATTCAGAATCATAATTATGAGATTCAAAGTCATAATTATGAGATTCAAAGTCATAATCATGAGATTCAGAGTCATAATTATGATCCAGAGTCATAATTATGAGATTCAAAGTCATAATTATGAGATTCAGTCATAATTATGAGATTCAAAGTCATAATTATGAGATTCAGTTATAATTATGAGATTCAAAGTCATAATTATGAGATTCAAAGTCATAAATTTGACTTTCAAAGTCAATTCTGAAATTCAAAGTCATAATCATGAGATTCAGTCATAATTATGAGATTCAGAGTCATAATTATGAGATTCAGAGTCATAATTATGACATTCAAAGTCATAATCATGAGATTCAAAGTCATAATTATGAGATTCAGAGTCATAATTATGAGATTCAGAGTCATAATTATGAGATTCAGAGTCACAATTATGAGATTCAAAGTCATAATTATGAAATTCAGTCATAATTATGAGATTCAAAGTCATAATTATGAGATTAAGAGTCATAATTATGAGATTCGAAGTCATAATTATGAGATTCAAAGTCATAATTTCGACGTTCAAAGTCATAATTATTAGATTCAAAGTCATAATTATGAGATTCAAAGTCATAATTTCGACTTTCAAGGTCATAATTATGAGATTCAGAGTCATAATTATGAGATTCAGAGTCATAATTATGACATTCAAAGTCATAATCATGAGATTCAAAGTTGTAATTATGAGATTCAGAGTCATAATTATGAGATTCAGAGTCATAATTATGAGATTCAAAGTCATAATTATGAGATTCAAAGTCATAATTATGAGATTAAGAGTCATAATTATGAGATTCGAAGTCATAATTATGAGATTCAAAGTCATAATTTCGACGTTCAAAGTCATAATTATTAGATTCAAAGTCATAATTATGAGATTCAAAGTCATAATTTCGACTTTCAAAGTCATAATTATGAGATTCAAAGTCATAATTTTGACTTTCAAAGTCATAATTATGAGATTCAAAGTCATAATTTCGACTTTCAAAGTCATAATTATGAGATTCAAAGTCATAATTTCGACTTTCAAGTCATAATTATGAGATTCAAAGTCATAATTATGAGATTAAGAGTCATAATTATGAGATTCGAAGTCATAATTATGAGATTCAAAGTCATAATTTCGACGTTCAAAGTCATAATTATTAGATTCAAAGTCATAATTATGAGATTCAAAGTCATAATTTCGACTTTCAAAGTCATAATTATGAGATTCAGAGTCATAATTATGAGATTCAGAGTCATAATTATGACATTCAAAGTCATAATCATGAGATTCAAAGTCATAATTATGAGATTCAGAGTCATAATTATGAGATTCAGAGTCATAATTATGAGATTCAAAGTAATAATTATGAGATTCAGTCATAATTATGAGATTCAAAGTCATAATTATGAGATTAAGAGTCATAATTATGAGATTCGAAGTCATAATTATGAGATTCAAAGTCATAATTTCGACGTTCAAAGTCATAATTATTAGATTCAAAGTCATAATTATGAGATTCAAAGTCATAATTTCGACTTTCAAAGTCATAATTATGAGATTCAAAGTCATAATTATGAGATTAAGTCATAATTATGAGATTCAAAGTCATAATTATGAGATTCAGAGTCATAATTATGAGATTCAAAGTAATAATTATGAGATTCAGTCATAATTATGAGATTCAAAGTCATAATTATGAGATTAAGAGTCATAATTATGAGATTCGAAGTCATAATTATGAGATTCAAAGTCATAATTTCGACGTTCAAAGTCATAATTAGATTCAAAGTCATAATTATGAGATTCAAAGTCATAATTTCGACTTTCAAAGTCATAATTATGAGATTCAAAGTCATAATTTCGACTTTCAAAGTCATAATTATGAGATTCAAAGTCATAATTTCAACTTTCAAAGTCATAATTATGAGATTCAGAGTCATAATTATGAGATTAAGAGTCATAATTATGAGATTCAAAGTCATAATTATGAGATTCAAAGTCATAATTATGAGATTCAAAGTCATAATTATGAGATACCGGAGCAGTTGGAGACAATTCTCCGTAGAATAACAGCGTGCTCCAACTCCCAGTTAAATATGACCTTAAATCCAAGGTCCAACCTTTGCTACTGCGTTAAGAGTCAGTAAAAGGTAGGTTCACCTTTTTTGATTTTGTTTAGATTCCTTCGTTTTGAATGCTTTTTGATCGTGTGGTGTTATGTACATAGTTCGTTGTTTTAGCAACATGAGCTAGCTGCAGGTTAACCGTCAAAGCGTGCTAACCTTGTTATAGCATATTTAACAGGTTTTTTTTTTAAAGTAGTCCGTTAATTAGATTGTTTTTATGTCAGAGTGCGATAAGAAGTTTGTACTCCAAAAATTCAATAAGTTAATATGTATAATTATTTTGTGGCATTAATCCAAGCAATAGCTAGTAGGTTAAAACAAGCTCCACAGCTTGTTGTATGTACGTTTTGTTATGTGTAACAGCTTCCCCTTATGCCCGTCCCGTCATACACACAAAGGAGGCCAGTTGGTTGAATTTTCTGTAATAAATGGTCAACACAAATTAGCACAGTGAGCTCCACTACTGGTTCACCAGCTCTCCGCATACACAGTAGAGCGCTGAACAGACTGCGTCTAATTTACGGTTTAGCTTTCTATTTATAGGCAACCAGTAGGGGGCGCCAAAAACCATTCATCACATAGTAATTACAAAACATATTTTAGCAAGAATTTCATCTGTATCTATTACCCGTTACATATGCATAATGTGATTCACTATCTTTCCCATTAAATTGTTTTTGTCGATACACAGACAAGAGTAAATATGGAAGTACAATATGCATCAGTTTTCAAACTGTTTTCGTAGCATTTTCATGTACACTTATGCTAATGCTGGACATCTGCAGCTTTACATTGACAATATTTACAAAAGCAATTTAAAATAAGAAAAATTGAAAAACAAGAAACTTAAAAAATCCCCCAAAACGGGCAGGCCCTGTTGAAAATTTTAACTCCTCAACTTTACTCAACTTTCAGGATACCTACAAGAGACAGAGGAGGTTCCTTTCACCTGAACCTAAACCTAAACAGAGGTAAGTTGCAACTCTTGTGAAAATCCAATTTATATATTATCTGTTTAAATGAAAATAATTGAGATCAAAACTAATATTCTGATGATGTTCATGCACTTGACTCTTTTATAAGATGGAAATTTCATTTTAACAATTGTTCAACCATTGAAATATTTTAGGGGAAAATGTAATCAGAACTTTCAGACCTAAGCTCTACACTTTACCATTTAGTTGTGGAGACACTGGTAGATTTTTCTTTATTACTTTTATGTAGTTTCTTTATGTATTGGTTTATTTTTGCAGATCTGTACAGCTGTTTTGTTGTCTATTGTCTTTATTTTAGCAGGAGCTTGAGTCTGAAATACAGTTTCTATCTGTCTTGTAGAGTTGGACAATAAATCAGTTATATGTATCACGATACACACGTGATCGATATCAATAGATAGTAAGTCTGACAGAATATTCAATAGAATATTCTCTGAACTCTGATCAGAACCACATACCATTCTGGAGGATGTAGGCACAGTCAAGGCTTCTCAACTAGGCCTGTCGCGATAAACGGTAAGTCAAGAAATTGAACGATAAATGAAAACTATCGACGTCATTTCATTTATCGGCTATCGTCTCTGCCTGTATTTTTCTCTTTCTATTGATGACGCTGGATGAGAAGCCTCAACTCTGGTGCTATCCACTGACCCCTCCCTTCCTAAAAAATGAGGAGGGAGGATTAGTGGACTATTGCATCAGGTAGTAAGTGCTCGGATCGCTTTGTATTTCTATTGCTTTAGAGCCCCGTGAGGAGTTAGCAAAGCAAAGAACAATATCTCAAAGCTCGAAATGGAACCGGTTTCAAAGCCGAACGCAACTGCAGCAGTGTGGGACTATTTCGGATTCAAACCAAATGACCGAGGCGAACCGCTGAACCTTTGCGAGCCGGTATGTCGCATTTGTCATAAAACAGTAGCAACTAAGAGCAACAATACAACCAACTTGCACGTGCACCTAAAGCACAACCATCCAGCAAAGTTTTTAAGGCTGGGGACAAAAAATACAACCGGTGGCCCGTGTCCGTCTTTAAGTTCGCGACAGTCCACTGTCTTTGAAGCAAACACATCCCACAATCTAGCAGCCAAGCAATTGCATAAAATAACCTTTTGGCCTTTCAAATGCTCCTCTCTGGTGATTTTTGATTGTTTTTAATGTTGCTCCAGTGTAAGGGGAAACTCTATTTATGACATAGTGATATAAATAAATTGGTGTGAATTCAGGACAAATCAATAATTTGATGAACACATCAGGATGGAGGAAGTATGGGTCGGTTTGGAAGCTAGCAATTTCCAACTTTTGTAAATATCACCGTCTATGATCCCCAATCAGGTTTGTTACGTTCACAGACAAGTTATCTCCACTCCAACAAGAAGAAGCCACCAAGAAACTGGTAAAACAACTTGGATAAATAACTGAAGTCACTCTGTTCAGTTCTCCATCCTTCACTGCCGACGTCCGTCATGGCGCCTCCAATGATGAAGTCAAGCAGTTGCAAAGGGTTAATAGTTTCAATCATGCAGAACTGATCTGACTGTTGCTATAGCAACGATCAGAAGCAAGACATTGTCCAGAACTACAGTGAGCTCATTGTAGCTATGACCTCATCAATGACTTAGATCTATGACATAGTTCTATGTCATAGATCTAAGAACCTCTGAGGCTATAAAAACTTGCATCTCAAAACCTCAGTTTTCAGTTGCAATTCTGTTTAGCCATGTCTTTGGATCTGAAAGCGATTGGAACGACATTTTTCTTTCCTGTGTCTTTTGGGCTTGGTTATTTGGCCAGCACAGCCATCAGGAAAACATTGAATGTTATCCTGCCAAACCTACAATTTGGAATGCCATCTAAGGATGAGGACCTGGATGTCTTTGATTCCTTCCTCTTCAATCCTTCTCCGGCTGGAGAAGAGAGTGACGAGGATAGACTTCCCTACCAGGAAGAGTGGCCGGATGATTTCAATTCTTTTCTCTTCAATCCTTCTCCGGCTGGAGAGGATTGCTCAGAGGATAATCATCCCTCTGCACAATGGATGGATGATTATGATGATAGATGCCTATCTTTTCAGGCCTCCTCCACCTGCGACGCAAACTTCTCCGGCTGGAGAAGTTTGCGTCGCTTCAACCAAAGATGAAGCGAAAATCATCAGTGTGGAAGAGACTCCTCAGCTAGGAGTCTCTGATCTAAACAAAGAAAAGCTGGAAGAGCCGACCTCTTCAAGAAAGATGAAGTGAAAGATATCAGTGTGAAGAGACTCCTCAGCCAGGAGTCTCTGAACTAAACAAGGAAAAGCCGGAAGAGCCGACGTCTGCAACAAAAGAGGACGTAAAAGACATCGGCGTGGAAGAGACTCCTCAGCCAGGAGTCTCTGAACTAAACAAGGAAAAGCCAGAAGAGCCGACATCTTCAACAAAGGAGGACGTAAAAGACTCGATGTGGAAGATGTAAACAAAGAGAAGCCTAAAGAGCAGAAAGCTTCTCCTCCATCAAAAAGAGCCTAGAAGATTGGACTCAAAAGGATTTCTTTTAGTTTTCTTCCAAAACAAACTTCCCCGGCTGGGGAAGCTTTGAAGATTAGGAGGTTTTCACCTCTACCTCCCCCACCACCTGTGGAAATTTGGGATGATAAGAAGGCAGTGAAGAGAAGTAAGAAGGCATGTTGTCGATTATCTTGACTGCCTGATTTTAAGTATGCAGCATCTTGTTTTTTCACTTTTCATTTTGATGAAAAGTGAAAAAACTTGCGAAACAGAGGTCTTGGGTTTGAATCCTGGCCTGGGTTCAAACCCAAGACCTCTTGATCTCCATGAGCATGAGTGGGTTCTCTCCGGGTACTCCGGCTTCCTCCCACAGTACAAAAAGATTTTTTAGATAAAAAGTGCGTACATTGGGTTGTGCCTTTGTGATTTCTAGGCTGTTCTCATTCTGTCTAGTTTTCTAGTTGAAGTGTCACTTTGTGTCTGATGAATAAAACTTCAATCCAGCTGAGTTTACCAGTTAGTAAATGATTGCAAACACACATCAAATTTGCCATTTTCTCAAAGAAGAATGTCTCAGACAAATTGTTTAATCCCACAAAATCAACATTACTTTGAGTTTGGTGATGAGGAAATGCAAAATGAGGGGATGAAATCCCAATCATCAATTCATTTTTAAAAAGCAAACCTTCCATCTTTCTTGAACATTACTGCAGACTGTAAGTAAGCATAGACCAATCGCCACACGTTTTCCATAATCCACCAAATGGTTCATAAATTAGTTAAATTGATTTGCTATGACAGCAGACAGATGCGTCAGTTATTTTTCACACTCACTGATCTTTATCCAAAACACAAAATGAGTCCAGAAATGGGAAATTAGCTGCAATACTCTCAAAGTCTTCTTGTGATATATAGCCATCGTGGTCATAGTCATAATTTCTGAAAACGTAGCTCTGATAGTCGGTGAACTGCAGACAAATGAGAATTATTGCCAAGACTCATTTGTATGAATCATTTTCATAGAGGCTATGCAATGTAGTTTAGCTCTATTTGGATTTTAATGTTACAATCAGTTAACTGAAATACACAACCAGCTGCTTACTGTAAAATTTTATGCAGGAAGATTAAAAAAAAACAGGATTCAGCTGAAAATTTAGGAAGCAAAAAACAAAGATATGGGTAAAAAAAAAAAGTAATTTATATGGAAGCCCATTTCCGCCAAGGAAAAGAAGACCAACAGGAAGTCATAATTTCGACTTTCAAAGTCATAATTATGAGATTCAAAGTCATAGTTATGAGATTTGAAGTCATAATTATGAGATTCAGTCATAATTATAAGATTCAAAGTCATGATTTTGACTTTCAAAGTCATAATTATGAGATTCAAAGTCATAATTATGAGATTCAAAGTCATAATTATGAGATTCAGTCATAATTATGAGATTCAAAGTCATAATTATGAGATTCAAAGTCATAATCATGAGATTCAGAGTCATAATTATGAGATCCAGAGTCATAATATGAGATTCAAAGTCATAATTATGAGATTCAGTCATAATTATGAGATTCAAAGTCATAATTATGATATTCAAAGTCATAATTTTGACTTCCAAAGTCATAATTATGAGATTCAAAGTCATAATTATGAGATTCAGAATCATAATTATGAGATTCAAAGTCATAATTATGAGATTCAAAGTCATAATCATGAGATTCAGAGTCATAATTATGAGATCCAGAGTCATATTATGAGATTCAAAGTCATAATTATGAGATTCAGTCATAATTATGAGATTCAAAGTCATAATTATGAGATTCAAAGTCATAATCATGAGATTCAGAGTCATAATTATGAGATCCAGAGTCATAATTATGAATTCAAAGTCATAATTATGAGATTCAGTCATAATTTATGAGATTCAAAGTCATAATTATGAGATTCAGTTATAATTATGAGATTCAAGTCATAATTTATGAGATTCAAAGTCATAATTTGACTTTCAAAGTCAATTCTGAAATTCAAAGTCATAATCATGAGATTCAGTCATAATTATGAGATTCAGAGTCATAATTATGAGATTCAGAGTCATAATTATGACATTCAAAGTCATAATGAGATTCAAAATCATAATTATGAGATTCAGAGTCATAATTATGAGATTCAGAGTCATAATTATGAGATTCAGAGTCACAATTATGAGATTCAAAGTCATAATTATGAGATTCAGTCATAATTATGAGATTCAAAGTCATAATTATGAGATTAAGAGTCATAATTATGAGATTCGAAGTCATAATTATGAGATTCAAAGTCATAATTTCGACGTTCAAAGTCATAATTATTAGATTCAAAGTCATAATTATGAGATTCAAAGTCATAATTTCGACTTTCAAGGTCATAATTATGAGATTCAGAGTCATAATTATGAGATTCAAAGTCATAATTATGAGATTCAAAGTCATAATTATGAGATTAAGAGTCATAATTATGAGATTCGAAGTCATAATTATGAGATTCAAGTCATAATTTCGACGTTCAAAGTCATAATTATTAGATTCAAAGTCATAATTATGAGATTCAAAGTCATAATTTCGACTTTCAAAGTCATAATTATGAGATTCAAAGTCATAATTTTGACTTTCAAAGTCATAATTATGAGATTCAAAGTCATAATTTCGACTTTCAAAGTCATAATTATGAGATTCAAAGTCATAATTTCGACTTTCAAAGTCATAATTATGAGATTCAAAGTCATAATTATGAGATTAAGAGTCATAATTATGAGATTCGAAGTCATAATTATGAGATTCAAAGTCATAATTTCGACGTTCAAAGTCATAATTATGAGATTCAAAGTCATAATTTCGACTTTCAAAGTCATAATTATGAGATTCAGAGTCATAATTATGAGATTCAGAGTCATAATTATGACATTCAAAGTCATAATCATGAGATTCAAAGTCATAATTATGAGATTCAGAGTCATAATTATGAGATTCAGAGTCATAATTATGAGATTCAAAGTAATAATTATGAGATTCAGTCATAATTATGAGATTCAAAGTCATAATTATGAGATTAAGAGTCATAATTATGAGATTCGAAGTCATAATTATGAGATTCAAAGTCATAATTTCGACGTTCAAAGTCATAATTATTAGATTCAAAGTCAATATTATGAGATTCAAAGTCATAATTTCGACTTTCAAAGTCATAATTATGAG